TATATATATATATATATATATATTCAGCATACAGACACGTATCAAACGTCTCCTCGAAATCTCAGCAAAGAAAGCAAACAAGCACATTTGCCTAGCAGGCAGAGCTACTCCCTTAAAGACACAGCAGAAACACCAGTTAGAAAAACTTCTCCATGCTTTGATTTTCAAACGTAGACAACTGTCATGGCCTTTCCTCAAATTCCACCTCAAACAATATTCTCAAGCAACTTCCTGTCTATATAACACGTATCATAGATACACGTAAACTCCCACTGCTTTGCCTGGGAATGAATGGGATGCCATGTTTCCATGTTTCACCCCTTCTAGCCATTCAGTTTAGATCCAACATGTGTGTCTGTCACAGATGTCACACCTCCCTGATTATCAGAGTGAAACAGACACACGTCACTGTGAGGACATGTCAGTGATCATGGGTGATGTGTGCCCTGACTCCCTGCTGCACAGGGTGCCCAGTGGCCACCCTGTGCAGCAGCAGCAGCAGCAGCAGCAGCCTTGCTCCGTGGGTACCATGTCGGCTCCCTCCTCATCTACGCTCCTCCCCTGCTGGGCTCAATCAATCACACAACGCTCCACACTGCAACTGTGACCTCCACTGACAGTTAATGCTTTGTGCAGATCAACCCAGCTGAGCCGCAGCAGCCCATCGAGAGAGAGAGAGAGAGAGAGAGAGAGAGAGAGAGAGAGAAGCAGGAGCACAGACGACACACTGCTGCTTCAGCTGTCATGACTCAGACACGGCCACACATCATGATGTCACACACATGAACGTGTTTCTTACCTGCCCACTGTTTGGTTGGCGAGCTGTCTCATCCGGTTGAACTGCTTCTTCATCTTGTGTTTTTCTGCGTTACCAGCGGGCGGTAGAGCCTCTCCACATATCTCATTGATGGAATCAAGTCAGAGCTCCGCGCTGATCTACGGCAGACGAGGAGGGTCAGTCTCTAAACATCCAGTTTTAAACATCCAGTGTGGGCGAAGCTTTGAGCTAAAATCTCCTCATTTCAGCTGATGTGTGTCTCTCGTCCTCCGCTCCGCTCCGCTGCTCCACAGATGCTGGACCGATTCCTCCTCCTCCTCCTCCTCCTCCTCTCTCCCCAACACTGACAGCTCGCTGGCGACACGACGCTCCCCGCCGGTGCACTATGGGAAATGTAGTTTAATTAAGCCTCCTCTCCGCAGAGCTACATAACAAGTTTTTAATGTACAGTTGTAACGTTAATGTCACATTAATCACAACACATAGTGACTGTAAGGGAGAGAGGAGAACAATATGAATAAATTAATAAAGGAGAGCAGGGTATATGTGGATGAAAGACGACACCAGGAGCTGTAACATATACTTAAGGTCCAAACACACGTCAGATCCAGTGTGAAGGATTCAGAGATGTGATATAATATCTATAACTGTGTTTTCAGTAGTTTATAATCACCTGATAGTGAGAGGAGGTGTGTTTTCATCGCCCTGCAGTGAGCCCCTGTATATGAGGCGGGAACTCTTCCTCAAAATCCGCCATGTTGTTTCTACATACAGTAGCCCAGAACGGACAAACAAAACACTGGCTCTACATAGTGAAATTCGCGTTTTGGCCTCCGCCCTTGTAGTTCTCCTGCAGCAGAAGTCAGAAACTGGAAAATGTAAAAAGCACTTGAGGCTAACAGCAATGAAAAATTAAAATGTTTTATCCATATATTTACTGTAACACCTGCTGCCTACTTTCCTTCACCCTGGACACATGGGACATGTTTCACTTCTACAACTTCACACATGCCACTAATTCTTACACTCTAGACCTTGTAGGCTAGACTATTACGTTTTTAAAATAAAATCACAACATTCAACTTTTAAATTCACTTTAGTTTTAATCACTGTCTTAAAGGAACAGTGTGTAAGATTTATCAGGATTTAGTGCCATCTGGTGGTGAGGACTGCAGATTGCAACCAGCTGAATTTTTTTTCCTGGTTAGACTTCCTTCAGTGTTGATTGTCCAGGAGGTTTTAACTGGGAGCTGAATTATCTGCAGAGGTCTTCTCCTCACCAAAACTAATAAACTCAGTGATTTAAACCGGTAAAAACACTGAATGAGGGTCCTAAGGACAGAGGGATGTCGTATGCTGTAAAGCCCCGTAAGGCAAACTGTGATTTGTGATATTGGGCTTTATAAATAAAATTGAAATTGAGATGTCCTCACAGTGCGGAAATGTCCCAACAATGCAAAAATGTCCAGAGGCTGTAGAGATGTCATCACAGAGCAGAGATGTTCTCACAATGCAGAAACGTCCCAACAATGCAAAAATGTCCCAACAATGCAATTGATTGATTGATTGATTGATTGATTGATTGATTGAATAAAGCAGTTTCACAAAAACGTTTTTGTGATGCTCTCATCGTGGAGAGGCTGATAACCACAGGGGCCAAAAACGAAAATGTAAAAATGCAAATGGCCATATCTTAAAGTTAAAGTTAAGTTAAAGATAAAGTCCCACTGATTGTCACACACCTGAGTGTGTGAAATTTGTTCTCTGCCTTTGACCCATCCCCTGAGGGAGCAGTGACCAGCAGCAGTGCCGCGCTCAGGAATCATGTGGTGATGTAGCAGTGGGTCCCATTTTTATAGTCTTTGGTATGACCCGGCCGGGGATCAAACCCATGACCTCCCAGTCTCAGGGCAGATGCTCTACAACTAGGCCACTGATCTGGAGCCAAGGTTTGGTTTGTCCGTTTTGGGCTACTGTAGAAACACGGAGGTGCAACATGGTGATCTCCATGGACGAGGACCAGCTCCCTGTGTAGATATAAAAGACTCGTTCCAAAGACGAAAGAACTACGATTCTTTTTTTCCTGGTGATTAAACACTAAAGAAAACATCATTTTTATGTTATATTACATTCGATTTCTGCCAGTATATATATCCTACACACTGGACCTTTAACTTCCTCTAACTTTGTTGACTACAACTGATTCATAGTGCTGCACAGTGACCTGTAGTTCACTACGTAATGCCATTAATTACATGGATTTATAGATGTAATTTGGATTAAACAGAAATATCTGCAGAAATACGCTGCATTGTTTGTCCTTTCAAAGCTTTATGCTTGGTCAGTATTTTTCACATTAACGATCTTAATTGGTTAAATGTCATTCCACCCAAAGATTAGTTAAAGTAGTTATTAATTAATGAAGGAGGATAAAACATACATTTTATATTATTTCTGGGGACACAACACAACACTTTTTCCTCCTTCGTAACCAAATACAGCAGGGATCCTTCCAATACAACTTTTTCTTTGTTTGTTTGTCAGTATAATTACTGTAATATATAATATCAGAAATACTCCTTTTCTGTCTCTTAAAATGAATCAGTTTGCCATCATGAAACATTAAAATATAAACAATAATAACATAAATGTTCTAAAAGGAGTTCAGTAGAACACAGAACGTGTGATTAACGGAGCAGATGCAATTTAATTTCATTTTAACACCCTTAAATTCCTGAGACAATGGTTTCCAACTTAAGGTCAGAGCCCTCACTGTGAATAACAAGATGATTAACTGAATACAAAATGAATAAATGAATAGAAAATAAAATCCTTTCAAACAATCAGAAAAACAAAAATATAGGCTGTAAGTGGAAAAGGTTGAACACGCCAGCCAAAGATACTAATTGTCTTCAGTTTCCGTTTGCCAGTAATTAAATACAAACAATGATGATTAAAGTAATCGATCTTTTTATTTGTCAGATTGAGTACAGTTTAAGGTCATCAGTCAGGGGTCAAGGACGAGGACTTAAAGGGTTAATAATCCTGTAAACTCTGCACATCAAGCATAAAAAATCTTTTTACTGGTGGCAATTTATAAATCCTTTGAAACCATAAAACTAAATATTATGTTTTGAAGCTACATTGTTTTAAATTGATACTGGTTCTCTTGATATAATCAGTTAGTCAGTTACGGTATAAAAATATTTAGCCTTTCATTCATTTAGCTTCTAAACAATGCTGTGATAAACATCGCAAAGTCACATCTGGACTATTTATTGTATTTATTTATGTATTGTATTATCATCTGAAGGCCTGCACGTGACATGTCAGAGGTATCAGGCTCCAACAGGCTCCAGCAGGCCTGTTCATAGCCCACAAGAGGGAAATGTCAGCACACTTGAATATTCATGAACACATTGTTAATTACCAACAAAGGTTTTATTATTCAGGTGAAATTTAATTGTTCAGGCTCGGTGGCAAAGATTTAAAAGTACACCTGATGTTAAGTTTAAACTGCAGCTTCACCGGATGTGATGTTTGGTGCAGCGACATAGTTTGTGCAGGCAAACAGCGCCATCTTGTGTCTGTTGGAGTAAAGTAGAGCTCTCAGTAATGTCTGATCTGCAGGAGCAGCAGTGACGTCAACACTGTGTGGACCCTCATGTTGCAACCAGTCTATGGCTGCACCACACTGGAACTCTCAGCTGCAGGTTTATCAGGTGAAAACAAAGGTAAACCCACGAATAAAACACTCACTGTGAAAGTGTTTAATTCACTAGATCAGCCCGAAACACACATTTCAATCTGACTAATTTATTTATGAGCAAGTTGTCAAGGTATTGTTTTATGTTGTGATTAAAGAGTGGGCAATTAGTAGTTGTTAACATTATTATTAGTGTTAAAAAAATTAAAAATTAAAACAAATTAAATATCACATTAAAAACAATGGCCACAAGAGTGGCCTAAAAAATAAAATTTAAATTAAATATTAATTTAAAGAAAGAATAATATTTAATAATAATAATATAATAATTAGGCCTAAGTAATAATATTTAAATAAGAATATGTTCCTCTTATTAATTTTATCTTATATAAAGTATATTATTATAAAGTACAATTTATTTAGCATTTTATTTTTTCAAGTTATATATTGCAGGATTTTTAAAATGCAGATTATAATGTTTTCAGACTTGGTGCTTATTAAAATGTTCATGCTGAGAACATATTTGAAAAACACACAAAACATAATTATACAACAATTTCACAACTGACACAGCTGGAACTGAACTCATGGTTCAGAAGACGAGGGAGCTGTTATTAAACCAGTCGGGTCCTGAACCTGTGACTCTCATCATCTATAACTCGCTGCATATAATGTATAACTCTTATTTACCTGTCAGACATCATATGTTCCTCTGACACCCACTACTGCTCATACTAATTTATGTTTACAGTTTAATTTCTCTGAAATGTAGCTACTGCAATATTGATTTACTTCTTTGGAAAATATTTTATGCACTCTATTGTATTCTATAGTAAATGTTTAAATGACATTATTATCATTTTTAGGCCTGGTTGCTTCATGGAGTCAGGCACTAAAGGATTTCACTCATATTGTGTGTGCTCTCTCAAGGCAACTGAATCGAACGCAACTGGACTTAGTTTTGTCTTAGAAGACGTTTCACCTCTTATCCAAGAGGCTTCATCAGTTCATGCTTGTCTGACTAGGCTGGAACTAGTCTGACAAACTGGTGTGGAAACACCCAGGTATTTAACCTCTGGGGAGGTCTTCACAAGGCCAATAGGCCCGTTTCCACTGAAGAAGTTCCTGGTACTATTTGGGGGGCAGGAACTACTACAGGAACGTCCTCTCGTTCGGCCCTCTCAACTGCCGTGATGAAGATGTCACTGGTTTGTTAGTGCTCCAATGGTGTGTCAATGACAGTCGTTGAAACTCCTGCTGCACCGGTGGTCGTTGGAGTTGTTAGAGTCACATGAGGCCATTTGTGAACGACCGTTGTTTTTAGAGGTTAAGTTGTTAAGCCTCCTGGGCAAGGATGAAAGTACAGCATTATAG